CCTCGCCTTAAGGAGTGAAGCCTGATGTTGTAACCTACAATACAATGATCTCAGGCTTGTGTAAGAAAAGATTAAAGGAGAAAGCTGATGACCTGTTCAGAAAAATGAAAGAAGAAGGGCCTCTTCCAGATAGCGGTACGTATAATACGCTGATCAGGGCGCGCCTAAGAGATGGTGACAAAGCGGCATCGGCAGAACTCATTAAAGAAATGAAGAGTTGCGGGTTTGCTGGAGATGCTTCAGCGATTGGCTTGGTCGCTAATATGTTGCATGATGGGAGATTGGACAAAAGCTTTCTGGACATGCTCTCTTAAAGACGTCTTTTGAGGTTAATAAGCCCTTTTTAACTAGTTCTTATGTTCATGAATATGTTTGATTAGCGTTCTGTTAACCAGCATTAGATTTTTGGTGAACGTTTTGGGTTGTGAATTTTTTTTTTCTTCTGTATCCATTATTGTTTATATCTTATAAACGAAACATTCTCAAAGGTGTTAATCAAATTTGCAAACTTTTATATTTGTTTCGTGTATTAAGAAACTTGCAAATTGTTAGTTTCTTCTACAGAAGAAAATGGTTTTGATCCCATGGCGCAAATGGAAATCTAAGCGACTACCATCAGTTTCGGATCTGGAGTTATGTTTGGTCACTGCGGTGAGGCAAAATTTATCACGGAAACAATTTGTGATTGGTCATAAGTCAGAACGACAGAGATTTGTTGTGGGACAGTTACAAAGATTTTGATGCGAATCATTTATGTACTATAAGCTGTCTTTGAACATATGGAGCTGCATCACATGGTATTTTTGTAATGGGCATTCTTGTTTTGCAGGCTCAAAGAGAGTTTCAGAAGATGATAACAAAACTATGTGGACCTTTTGATACCTTGCAGCATATAGGATCTGCATTTTTCCATCAGAAGCCACCTCAAGTTGCTAAGAGTCTTCAGTCCAGCAAAAGGTTCTGTTCCAAAACACCCTGTCAACGGTTTGGTTCTTACATATATAGTGGTTCCTCTGGTTCTAATTCTCTAAGACATTTGTTAGGGAGAAAGCAACAGTTGCACTATAATTTCACTAAACCGGCTTCAGGAGTCTCTTTCTCAAGTAATTGAGGAACACTCTGTTGATTAGGGTTTCGTAAAGTTTTACCAGAAGAGAAGTGGTAGAGAAGCACTCTTCCTTTCAAAGCATTTGTGAAGTGCATCAAGTATTTATGTTGCTTCTAGTATTGATTAAAAGTTACAGATTGATCGATAGAATAGTAGATCCATCAGTCGTAAATGGCAAATTTATGTACACACCACAACAATTTTTTTCATATGTACAGAGAGAAAAACAGAGTTTTGAAAAGATCAGACAAACAGTTTCTCTGTTCGTCTCTCTTCTCTCCATCCATTGTAAACATTTGCAATGTAATCTTCAATCCTGCTCGTCAAGGTGTCATCATCAACATCATCACCATAGGCATGATTATCATCATCATCATGGTTTTCAATACCATCATCACCACCATCTTGATTCCATTGGCTATAATCTTCATCATCGTTCCATATAAAACCATCATTATCAACTTCATCAAAACCATCATAATAGCTAAAACAATCATCATAGTAATATCTTGTGAAATAACAGCATTCTCTGTTCTTGTCTATGGTTTCAACATCAAGCATACTGTCTTCTTGAAAAGTGTACAAAACATAGAAATCTTCGGTTTCTTCATAAACAGAGCGATTACGATCGATGATAAGCAAGAAAAGAATCAAACAGAGGAAAAAGAAAATAAGAAGAGGATTTGGAGGATTATTGAAATATCTCAAGAAGAAAAAGAGCATTAATGTTGAAACAATTGTTCTCCAGATCATCTCCATGACATTGATTATAATGTTCATCATCTTCATCTGGACTCTATCTATATCAATAAAAGAGTAACTTTCCAGGAAAATAATTCGAATTAAGAGTAATTTTCCGGGAAAATACCATGAATTCTGCTGAGATAATGAGTGGAAAAAGTCTGTTGTGTGAAGTTATTGTAAAACTTAACATATTCTATAGAATAAAGATTTTAATATTCTAAGGATGTGTTGTACACATGTCTATATCTTGCTGCGCAAGTTCTAAGAATATGTGTATGTGTAATTCTAGTATTAATATTTATGTTCTTGAGAGAGAAGTTTACGATTCTTGAAGTGGACACAATGAGTTTTTTTATGTTATGACTTATGATCATAACAAGTATCGATCTCAGTTTAAATGTAATTTCTGATATTTAAATGTAGATGAGTATATTAAAAAAATATTTTGTAATTTAATTTATTTTTTGAAGATGTTTTTTTCTTGGACTCCATAAAGAATAAATTCAGATATATTCACATCATTTCTATGACTCAACAAAACTCTACCTAGAATATGTCTAAGCGAGTCAAAGACTATCATCCTCTTATATTACCAATATTGGTTTACACACACATGACATGACATGAACAAGAAACTATTCTCCTATTTATATTCATTCTTTCCTAACACATAAATCAAATTCAATCCGTTAAAAAATGGAGAGTCAAAAGCAAGAAGACAATGAATACATTTTCCGCAGTTTGTATCCATCTGTGCCCATTCCTGACAAACTTACACTGGTAATATAGCTAGACACAGTTTTTCTTTTCCGGTTACGGTCTTTAATAATTTAGGTTAAGATTCGGTTTATAAATACTAATGAAATTTACTAATGGCAATGTGAAAAGCCTGAATTTGTGCTCCAAGGAGTTGAAGAATACACAGAAAATGTGGCGTTTGTAGAAGCGGTGACCGGAAAAGCGGTGACGTACGGTGATGTAGTGAGGGACACAAAGAGGCTAGCCAAAGCGTTGACCTCTCTCGGACTAAGGAAAGGTCAAGTAATGGTTGTGGTTCTACCAAACGTCGCTGAGTATGGGGTTATTGCCCTTGGCATTATGTCTGCCGGTGGAGTCTTCTCCGGTGCAAATCCGACGGCTCTTGTCTCCGAGATCAAGAAGCAAGTTGAAGCTTCCGGTGCTAGAGGAATCATCACTGATGCTACTAACTATGAAAAGGTAATTTAACATTTATATTTTTTCTTACGTACCTAGAAATTTAAACATTTTTGTTTCTATATGATTTGGAAACTTTTTAACCAGCAAAATGTATGCACATGATTTCGTTCGGTTTGGTTGCTGTAATATTTGGTATAGACTGAAAACCAAGCCGACATAATTCCACAGCCAAGCTGAAATAAATAAACCAAACACCAAACTCGATTTATTTCAATTTGGTGTGGTGAAATGTCGATTTGGTTTTTGATTTGATTTTGAATCATAACCATATTATAAGTAGACAAATAATTCTATTTCAATTATATATAAATATATTTTAACTTTTATCAGTTTTAAATTATGTAGGTTTGATAAGAATTTCCTATTTATTTGGGTATATAAAATTCAAATTTGATTTGGTTTTCGGTATGGATCGGTTCATTTTTAATACTAAATAACCAAATATACAAAAAAAAAAAAAAGTCAATGTGAAAACATTGCTAAAAATTTAATTTCATTTGAAGTATATTCGTATACAAATAATTTTTGTTAAGTCGATTCGGTTGGATTAAATCGGGGCCTGGTTTGGTTTTATGTGGTACGATTTTTGTTTTTTGATACAAAAACAAAAAAATTAACTTTTTCGATTATGGTTTCTGTTTTTTCGGTTTAGGTTTGGTTTGGTTAAAATCCATATCTATACCTAAAACATTTACTTATTTTGGACAGGTGAAAACACTAGGTTTACCGGTGATAGTGTTAGGTGAAGAGAAGATCGAAGGAGCAGTAAACTGGAAAGATCTTCTAGAAGCAGGAGACAAATCCGGAGATACCGACAATGAAGAGATTCTTCAGACAGATCTTTGTGCACTTCCTTTTTCTTCAGGAACAACCAGGATTACAAAAAGGAGTAATGCTCACACATCGCAATCTCATAGCCAATCTTTGCTCTACTCTCTTCAGTGTCAGGTCTGAAATGATCGGTCAGATCGTGACGCTTGGTTTGATCCCATTCTTTCACATTTACGGTATCGTTGGCATATGTTGCGCTACAATGAAGAATAAAGGCAAAGTTGTTGCTATGAGTCGGTACGATCTAAGGATTTTCTTGAATGCTTTGATTGCGCATGAGGTTTCCTTTGCGCCTATAGTTCCGCCGATTATATTGAATCTTGTTAAGAATCCGATAGTTGATGAGTTTGACCTTTCGAAGCTTAAACTTCAGTCTGTTATGACTGCTGCTGCTCCTTTAGCTCCTGAGCTTCTTACTGCCTTCGAAGCCAAGTTTCCTAACGTCCAAGTCCAAGAGGTAAGACTTTATAAGACTAGGACTTGTATGTTCAATGATGTTTTGATTGGTTCTATGGAATTAAACCTTGTTTTTGTATTAGGCTTATGGATTAACGGAGCATAGTTGCATTACGTTAACTCACGGAGATCCAGAGAAAGGACAAGCAATCGCGAAACGAAACTCTGTCGGTTTCATACTTCCGAATCTCGAGGTGAAGTTCATAGATCCTGACACCGGTAGATCACTCCCGAAGAACACTTCCGGTGAGCTATGTGTGAGGAGCCAATGTGTAATGCAAGGTTACTTCATGAACAAGGAAGAGACTGACAAGACAATTGATGAACAAGGTTGGCTTCACACAGGGGATATAGGTTACATCGATGACGATGGAGATATCTTCATCGTTGATCGTATCAAAGAACTTATTAAATACAAAGGTTTTCAGGTAAAATGTTATACCAAAGTAAAACATAATATTTCATTGTTTCAAATTGGCCGGATTTTCAAAGTAATGGTGTAATTTTCCGGTAGGTTGCTCCCGCCGAGCTTGAAGCTATTCTACTCACTCATCCATCCGTTGAAGACGTTGCCGTCGTGCCGTGAGTATATATATATATATATTGCCCTACTGTTTTTTTTGAAACTAATATTTTTAGATATTATTAAAACATAGAAATTATGAAATGAAAAGGTTACCGGACGAGGAAGCCGGGGAGATTCCGGCGGCTTGCGTGGTGATAAATCCGAAAGCGACGGAGAAGGAAGAAGACATTCTCAACTTTGTTGCAGCAAATGTGGCTCATTACAAGAAGGTCAGAGCCGTCCATTTTGTGGATTCAATCCCCAAATCTCTCTCTGGTAAAATCATGAGGAGGCTTCTTAGAGACAAGATCCTCAGCATCAACAAGAAGTAGAACAAAGAAAACTCTTACAAGCTTTCCTTAATCTACTTTGGTTTAAGAATGTCCTAAATGGATTTCCTAATTGGATTACCACCACATATGGTTAAGAGAATAGACTTTAATCATTGTATCTTGCTTACAATTAATTATGAGTATTTATGATGATGAAATTTTAGTATTGATCGTTAGAATACAAGATGAAAAGAAAGCAATATAAGTAACAAGAAATTTCATCTTCATAAATACTCATAATTAATGCTAAACTGTGACGAAGATGGAGAAAGAACAAATCTGATGATCTCATATTCCTTGATAGTTTTAGTAACTAGAAAATTTCTTAATTCGCACAAGTATTAACGTTTACAATTTTTTTTCTAAACACAACCTTTGATTAACTTTTTTTTTGTTTTTATCAAATTAACTAAACCTCTAATTAACAGTGTTTTTTGTTTCTAAAGACAACCTCTAATTAACTAGATGTACCTTAATCACCATATTTTATGAATGTTCGAATATTCTTGTCGGTTTCGTTTTGATTCTATTTAGTTTCGGTTCTTTCGATTATAGAGTTTAGGATCATGTTATTTTAATATGTACACATCGATATAATATAATTGATATATATTTCTGTTATGTATATGTAATCAATTATCTTAGATCTTTATATGATTATTATACATCGCATTTAATATTGACATATTCTTTAACTGAAGGAATAGTTATATTCGTAGAAAATTGTTTAAAAGAAGTATCGCGCTACGTACCTCAAATTATTCTACTACCCTTATCCCTTATACATGTTTCTCATTGAAAATTTGTAGATTTGTCATTTGCTTCAATAAGTCTGTATTCATCATTAGTTAATTACCAAATTAACTCTAATAATCACATTAAAATAAAAAGAATTATCTTATATTATATTGTAACAAAATTTTCATTAACATTAAAAAAACGATTTCTGCAAAAAAAATATCAAAGTCGCTATTTTTAAAATTTATTCTCCATCTCAAAATATGAAAGTCAATCCCATAAAGTAAAATATAGTACGCAATATAACTCGTTTTTCTTACTGTTAATTTTGTAAAATATAAATAAATAATATAATATAAGTGATCGTGAAAGAGGAATCCAAGTATGCTTTTAGAATTTTAAAAATCTAATATAAGTGATCGTGAAAAAATTTCAAAGACACACATAAAGATTATATTACGTATTATTATGAATTCGTATAATTAATTTATATTTTTAGAGATGAACGGTAAGACTATAAAAATTGAAGATTTGGAGGATTTTTTATAGAAGACAAGTACAGTTTCCTTTAGCTTTGTAGAAAACAAAATTTGTAGTTGAGAAGCTTTTTAGCCAACAGTTATTAAAATGATAAATAAGAAAAAAATAAATGATAACTTCATCAATAATCACCTATTAATTAGTCAAACGGACAAGAATTTGTGGAAGCATAAAATTTCCTTAAGTCTGGATATTGAAGAGCTCATGGCCATGGGCAATTGCGGCAATGGCAAATATAGTATGTGTCCTTCCCAACTGTTTGTCCAATACATCTTCCAAATTTATACGTAGTATTTCTTGGTCGACTACAAGATGTTTCACATGTACCGCGTCTATCACACAATTTCGGATTATATCGAATTCTTTCGCCACAACGATTATTTATTGGATTTCTAGCCTCCATTTTTGATATTCCTGAAATCATAGTAATCAACAAGTCAGAAATATTGTAAATATGAATGAATTCCTTTTGCCAAATTACATATTTTAATCTTAAAATACAGGTTTGAATAAATTAAAGAAGGTGTTCATTTCAATCACAAGTCACAACTGATTTGATGTTGTAAGTCAATTTTATTTTTGCTTGCATTTAACAATGACAAATTTTTAAAAAGAAAATACTCATATATATACCAAATTAAAGAATACTATAAACGCTGTTCGCCTTTTGTTGTTTATAGTTTAACCAAAAAACATTTCTTAAAATGGTAAAAGTTGTGAATTTATTTGAGAAAAAATAGAAAATACAAATATAAACAAACAATGAAAACATATCTAAGATTCATATTTCATTACGTTTATTACCTGTTATAATCAACATGAAGATCACTGCAAAAGTAATGAAGCGAAAAAGCAGTTTTTCAATCTTGGCCATTTTTCTTGTCTTTCCTTAATTGATCTCTTCCTTTTTGTTTTGGTGGAATGTTCCGCTGTTATACATATATATATATATATATATATATATATATATATATATATATAATGTATTTTTATTTCTTTTTTGAAAAAGGAAAGAAAAGAAGAAAAAAATATCCTTAAAAGATGCATATCCAACAGTTAAATTTAGTAACAAATTTAATCCTCATATTCCTTGCTAAATTTAGTAAACAGAAAATTTCTTAGATTACAAAAGTATTAAGCGAAAATTGGAAATAAAGGAGTTCTAATAAAGATTTTTATCATATACACATTTTTTTAGAATGTTACCTTTACTCTAAGCATTTTTTACAAAAAGTAAACCATGAAAACATGTAGATATATAAGAATATAGATGCTTAGAGAAAATAAATTGGTGATTTAGTTGAAAAAAGTTGAGTTTTTTATAGATAAAGTTTTGTCTAGTATTGTTACTTTGTTAGAATACGTTTTTTAGTGTTCTACGTATTTCAGAGTTTCTATTCTAAACTTTTGTACAAGATCTATGATTTTTATACTAGTTTTCTGTTCTAACAAATTCAGAAGTCCAGATTGAAAATTTCTAAAAACTTTTGGACATGTATTCTAAATGTTCAGATATTTTGTCAGTTCCGTTTTGATTATATTTAGTTTCGGTTCTTTCGAATATAGAGTTTAGGATCATGTTATTTTAATATATACATATCGATATAATATATCAAAATGATTGATATTTCTTTTATGCATATGTGTATGTGTAATCAATAATATTAGATCTTTATATGATTATTCATTGCGGGTTTTTTCAACAACTTTTAATTAAAACTCAAAATAATCATTCCTGAGGAATGTTGTTTACATATATGATATAAAGCGGTTCGGTACGAACTTTTTTGTGCCAAATTATCCGCTTTTACATTTGCACTGCGAGGGAGTAAAGAGAAAGAGAATCTTATAAATCTTTCAAATACACTAAAAAGGCCGGCCATTCGGTTGGAGAAGACACCATCTTCACCATATCTGAACAGTCTGTAAAAAAAATCTACATCTTGGTTGTCGGCACCGATCATACACTTCATCGCCCACTTTTGTATGTAGTGGAGATAGACTTATGCGGATGTTGACAGCTCTAATGGTTGGCGTCTCTCCATTTGATGATGTACAAAACCACCATGGTCCTGAAAACTTATTGTCCCTTTTCCATGATCCATCCACAAAGCAACGATATCTGAAATAGATAGTATCCTGTGAAATATCTCTCACTCGAGATCTAGTTTCGCAATTTAAAGAACCATAGTTTTCAGTATGAAGCTCGAGTTGAGCTAACTGCCATAATTGCGCCTCTTTTTCCGGTAATACCTCTAGTTGATCTTTATCCATAGTTTTATAGATTTTTTCATTCTTTACTTTCCAAATATACTAAATTATTCATGGATATGAAGAAGAATCTATTTCCGGAGGAATTCTCCAAAATAAGTGATCTAAATCGCGTAAATAGAAGTCGTAGGAAAAATTCCTGGAACCGTTGAATCTGAGAAAATGCCCAAATTTTTTTCGTTGGGTGGCATTCAAAGAGGGTATGGTTAATTGTTTCCTCTAACGCGCCACATCAGCTACATCCTGTATTACAATTTATACTTTTCTTCCGCAAATGTTCTGTAACCAGTACACAATCCGATAAAATTTGCCACAAAAAATGATGTAACTTAGGCGGACAACCCTCCAAGTATATGCTTTTAGTGATTTGAAATTTAGACCAATAAACGATAAGTTGGTGCCCAAATCCTCTAACTGCAGCATATGATGACCTGATTTAACTGTATATTTTCCAGATTTGGTGAAATGCCATCGCGTTTAATGTTGACATATTTATTGACTAGAATAAGAAATAGTTATATTCGTAAAAAATTGTTTAAAAGAAATTTCACGCTACATAAAAATTTTACACTACCCACCTTATACAGGTTTCTTATAGAAAATTTATAGATATGTCATTTGCTTACATAAAGTATGCATCATTAGACCATAATATTGATAATAATGTATGTTTTTGACATAATCATGTCATTTCTCGAGGTGTTTGATGTCTATCTCTTTCCTTTATTGAATTAATTTTATTGTTTCATATTGAGGACACTAGATTGGTTAAGTTTCTGTTAGTGTTTAAAAAAACTATAAGCTAAATTTACACAACTTCATGATATGAGTCAGTTGGTTCTTACTTTTGCAATCAATTTAATCAGGTCGGACGAGACACAGAAGTGCTAACAGAAGAGAATGCCAAACTTGAATATTGTGTTAAAGAAGTATGCTGTTATAATTGATAACAGCTCATTTCGTTTGCCTGTCACTGGCGACTGAATCCAACACCAGCGACCAAAAGTTGTTCGTTTGGTTGTCGCTGGTTCAGCGACCTATCGCAGCGACCGCAATTTTCAGTCGCTGAAATTTGCAGCGATCAGTCGCTGGTTTTAGTGATCAGTCACTGCAATTGGTCACTGAATCCAGCGACAAGCAAACGAACAACACAGCGACAAAAAATATAAATTAAAAATAATCAAAAATAAATTAGATTAAATTATATTAAACTAAATTAAATATAATCAAAACTAAACTTAATTAAATATAATTAAATAAATTTTTAAAAAAATAAGATTGGCTTCTATCATACCAACAAAATATATAATATAAGATTGGCTTCCAAATATAGATTCATGCTGTCTTTTTTTTTTTGTTAATTCGTTGCATAAAAATAAAAGGTTGCATTAAAGCCATTAATCATTCTAGCAAAGTCCTGCAAACTCTTAAGGATTTTAAAATGTTACAAATAATTCATTCGGCTATATTTATTATAAAACGAGTTATATTAATTGATATGAATAGAAGACTGAAAAATTAAAAATCTATACCTACTTATTTTTTAATTAGTTCTTTTTCCTTTGACCTAATTAATACCCAAACTACCCTCAATTATTTGTGAGCGCTAACAAAAATAATAACAGGATAAATCATATTGTATCACGGTAACTTTAAAAATTATATGGTTAACTTATATTTACCGTACTAAAATATTTATCATATGATTTTTATCAACTAACTTATATAATAAAATGTTTATTTATTTTAATAATTTATTTATTACCGCTAACTTATACATTAACAGATTTATTTATCATGATAATTTGTTTATCACAGTTAACTTATGCATTAGCATCGTTAACTTATGCATTATCATATTTATTTATCATGATAATTTGTTTATCACGGTTAACTTATGTGTTATCATGGACGTAAAAAATAATAAAATCTCCTTCTCTTCTCAAGTACCCTCCTCTATCGTCATTTTCCCAATTTTTCTTTTTCTTCCATTGTCACCTGCAACTCCATCCCATAAACACCTCACCACTTTCTCTTCTTCTTCTCTCCTCCTTATTTTCTTTATTTTCGTCCTCTCCATCTTCATTTTAAATTACAAAACCATAATTTTCATCCTAAATTCTTCAAATTAAAAGTTTAATCCATCCCAAACTCGTGTAGATTCTCTCTATTTTTGTGAATTATTTGGTGATGATTGTATGTTTGATGAATTTGATGAACCAAATGAAGAGTTAGATATAAAATCTGTTTGTGAAGAAAAAGAGGTGACGATGAAGAAAGAAGAAGATTTGGAAAGTGAAGGATTTGGAAGAAAGACAGATAATTAGGTGTGTAGAAAAAAGGTAAAATGGTAAAAATATCATTCTCTCTCTTATCTACTTAATTAATAAAAAAGTATGGATAGATATTTAATATTTTGGTCTTCTGAGCATAGATATTGATATTACTCTTATAAAACATATAAATTATTTTAAAAACAGTAAAACACATCGTGCAAGTGCTCACGTAGTATATTTAATTAGAGATTAACCTGTGGGTAGTGGTACACAGCAGATCTATATTTTTTTTATAAATTAAAACAAAAAAATTATTTTGTTGAAGATTATCAATAGTTTTCTTACACTCTTAGTTTAATTTTGAAATTGAAAATATTAACTATTATAAAAATCAGTGCACTAAATATATATACAAAATATATTTATATTGGATATAAAATGTTTTTTCCATTATACAACAACAAATAAAACAATATTTTTTAATATTAAAAAAAAAAATTATTTTTGAAAATTTTTGTTGGTCAACGTTGGTTAACGCCGTAGTCAGTCGACCGGTTAACCTGAGATTCTATGTTTATGATGTTGACCACATGACGCTATATACTTCGTATATGTGTCCATGCAATCCATATACGTCAGGTAGCTGAGTGTCCCTTAGTTTACTTGGCATGTGTAGCCATGTGTTCTGGCAGCCCTGGGCGTTTGGTTGTTTGGTTCGGTTCGGTTCGGTTCGGTTATTCGGTTATTCGGTTCTAGGCACTTGGGAACCATAGGAGAACCAAACTGTTTTCGGTTCGGTTAGCTTTCGGTTCGGTTCGGTTTGGATACTTGAGAAGAGAACCATAAGATAACCGAAATACTTTTGGGTATTGTTCGGTTTGGATATTTACCCACCAAATAACCAAACTATCCAAATAACCGAACTATTACCCGAATAAAAACAGATTGTAATACTAATAATGTATGCAAATATGAACCAAAAGCTTCAAAATACAATAATTCAAGTTGCAAATCCAATAAAAGAGTCTACACAGTTCAGTCCAGAGAGATCCATAACAAACTAACAATATTCTAGAGTTTCAAAATCCAAATCCGCAACAAAATAACAAAGTTCAAACTTCAAACTTCAAAGAGACTTAAGAGTTGAAACCGCAATAAAATAATCAAGTTCAAAAGAGACTTGAGAAAGAAAAAAAGAGAGAAAGAGAGATTAGAGTATAGATTATTATATTCTACAAGCATCTTCAAGTCCTTTGTGATAAATCGAAGATGATGAATTGATGAGGTGAAGAACCGAAAATGATGATTGATGAATGGATTTGGAGGTGATGAGTGGTGAATAAAAATTAGGGTTTTGTGTTTGTGATTTGGGGATCGGG